TCAGTGAGACTCTTTCCCTGGAGTATTGAAAATGGATCCAAGGATTTCAACTTTTTTGAGCACAAGAGATATAACCCAAGGAGAAAGTTGTTGGTGGTAAATATTTTCTGTTCCATGGCTTGAGACACATAGTGTGTAGAAACTGAATAATGGAGACTTGGAGGATAGTCTTAAGGGAAGTCTTCTTCCCTTAATCCAGTTCAAGTGGGTCTCTATCACTTGCCATCTAAGGTTCTCATAAACTTGCTTTTCTTGAGTAAAACTGACAACTCTCTCTTTCTCTCTGTCTCTCTGTCCTTCTCTCCTTCTCTCTCTTTCTCTCTCTGTGGTGCTCCTAGAATAGAACCGAGGGCACTTCACCACTAAGCTAGATTTTGAGACAGGGTCTCACTTAGTTTCTCAGTCTGGCCTCTAACTTGTGATCTTCTTGCCTCAGGTTCTCTAGTGACTAGGATGACAAGCAGTGCCTCACCAGCCAGGCAACATCTCTACTTTTTAAAAGGCAATTAAATGTTTGCAAGATTTCTTTGTTAAATCAGAAGAAGAGTTTTAGAATGAACTTTCCCCTTCTTTATGCACAATGAATAGCACATTCATGACACTCTTAGTTTTCTTATTTAAACAGATAGATGAGAGCTTTTTGTCTCACAAGCTGGAATCAGTCAGAATTGCAACTACTTTCCATTCCAAACCCATTCTTATTGTCATTACCTAATTTATTTTTATTAACTGATCCCTAATGCAAGAAAAATATTTGAAATACATGGGTCTTTATTTCCTATTATTTTCCAAATAATAGTTAAAAGATGAGGGTTTTCATTTCTGTAGGGTAGGCTTGCTGCTTATCAGGCTCCTTAGAGGCTGAGGTGAAGCATGAGTGAAACTTGAAGAAAAAATAATTTGATTTTGTGGTCTCTTAGGGAAGCAGAAAACTCTCTACAAAATCATACTGAGAAGAAAGCAAACTCATTTTTGAGTGCATGTTCAAATAATCATCTTATCTGGTATGTTTAAATGGTATCTTCTGGATTTTATAGATGTGCCTGGTTCTAGGGGTTTTTGTTTGGCAGGTAGTCCAGGACTCCTCAGTACTAGTGAGGAAGTGGGCCATCTGGTGAACGGGAAACTTGTGTCTTTGATGAAACTGGTATTGGCTATTCCTTAAATGAGGCCTCCCTAGGACTCCTCAGAGGGTCATTTTTCTGTTACTATTTCAAAAAGAACGGGTCTTGCCTTGTCTTTACTCTTGATCTGTGTTATCTTATATTTCATAATACCCATCCAGGCCATTAAGGTCAAAGCTATTATAATAAACATGGGAAAATCTTTATACACACATTATACACACCAAGGTAATCTGATTCTCTAATTTCCTTGTTTTTTTTTTCCAGTCCATATAAAGTCTCTCCTACTTCTCACTTTCCCCCATGTTTTCTAGGTTAACTTTTGAGTTCAGAATGAAGTTCATTTTGTCAAAGCTTATGGCATCCTGTATATTCATCCTTTCAGTTTCTTGCCCATTGAAGCTTCTCTTAACTCGTCACTCTTTCACTTGGGCATATAAGTTCTGGGCAATTCCCTTGATTTTTTTTTTGTTGTTGTTAAAAAAAGGGGAAAAACATGTCCCCTGTGGTTGTATACGTAGAGGGCAAGGAAAGCAGAATTCAAAACTAGGCAATTGTTTTTAGAGCTGGAATCCTAATTATTATAGTACATATATATTAAAAATGAACATACAATAGGGATGAGGCATGGAATCAGTATAGAAAAGAGATTCCAATGCAGTTTTCCAAACACTATTTGAGGGCTTCTCTTGAGAGCTGGTGGGTTAATACAGTCAGGCTGGCTTAAAAAAAAATGGGTAGGGTAGATATAGATTATGTTTCATCACTGTCTTAGGTTTGGCATTAATCATGGTATACCATTGAATCTTATTATCAGTTACAAATCTTCTTTATGCTGTATTTTTACAGAGTTCTGAGTTCTCATGAAAATAGAATTCCTAGATAATCTCGTTTTTTCACAGTTCCCACGGTAGGGCATGAAGATTCTTTTGTCCTTCCCCACCAATATGGCACACACACCCAGGCACACATGCAAACACACACACACGTGCACAGGCACATGTACACGTGTGCGCACACACACAAATCCCTTCTCTATGTGACAAATTCTGGAATTACCTCTTCAAAAATTATCAGGGTGCAAACTCTTGTTTTCAGTTCTTTTCTTCCCAGGTCTGCCTAATCTCTGCTTACTTCTTCCAGTAATGCCAATGTTAACTCTTTTACTTAAAACTGCTTTGTAACAAACCATCCAACTTATTGGTGTAAAAGTACAACAATGATTTTATTATATCTTATGTATTTTATGGACCAGTCTCAGGGACTCTGTGCTGGTGAAGTCAGACAGGGATTAAAGATAAAATAGCAGATTGTCAGAGAATGGGGAGAACTAAAGCAGCTGGGGCTGCATCCATCTCTCTCTCTCTCTCTCTCTCTCTCTCTCTCTCTCTCTCTTCCTCCCTCATTCCCCTGCCTCAGTATTTCTCCATGAGTTAGTTTGATAAGTTTCACATCATGACAGCCTCAGGATGTTTAGGGTTCTTGTATGGCAGTTCAGTTTTACAAAGTGTTCCAGCCAAAAAGACAGAAACTGCATCACCTTTTTAATGACCAGCCTCAGAAGTCAAGGGTTATTTATATTGCATCCTACTGGTTACAAGCAAGCCATAAGCCTGCCCAGATCTGAGCTACTGATGCAACAAAGCTCTAGGAGGATCGGATAATGTTGTTTGCTTTCAACTATCACAGATATTTTTTTAAAACTTAAGAATAAAAAATAATCTATTACTACCATTCTAGATCTTCTTTAGAGCCTATGGGCAATGGTTTTAGTTCACTTTTATAGGCTTTGTAGTGTTATTTGGATTTGTTTCAGGTTTAGGCCACCTGGAGACCAGTCTTGGACTTGTGTCAAGGTCTAGTTCATTATAATATTTCTTAGTTTGCTATTTAGGGTCAGATTCATGTATGTGTGGTTTGGAGGTTGGCCTAGGAGATTGTATAATTTTATAGGATCATTTTCTTTATCTCTAATATATTACTCCCACTCTTGGGACTACAAATCCTTTGTGTCATAATAAAAAGTTCTCTTGAAGTTTTAGGCACCAGCTTGGCTACTTTTGCTCTTACAGTATTTCTAGGGGGCTGGTGCAAAAGAGTATGTAACAAAGAGAAAAAAACAAGGAAAATTTCTCTAGTCTCTCTGATCCATAAAGGTCTTCCTTCCTGGTTTTTGGACCAAAATATAGGACTCCTCCAGGAACCATTTCTGTCTGTACTAACTATGCAGTCCTAGATTCTAGGCTGCCTTCAAGTTCTGGACAGAAGACCATAGGGGTGTCCCCCCCCCCCCCGCCGATGTCTTGCCCTGTTGTGCCAGGGGCAGTGGGGTAGGTTGCAAAAAGGCCAAATAAAGTGCCCAGAAATGGCATGCAAAACCATTTATTTAAACCAATGATTTATTGGGGAAAGAGGACAAGAGATTAAGAAGAGTTCAGTAGTGACGGACTGAACAGATAAGACAGCGTCTCTGTCCCTCAAGGTGTTGCACCAATCAGTGCACCTTCTCCCTCACAACATTTTGTCCAGTGGTGGTTGACTGGATGAGTGACATATCTTTTCCACAGAGCCTTCAGTTCTGCACTCATCCCCTCTCAGAGAGGGATTTTATATGTTATTCTACAGAAGCACTAACATTATCAGCATTAGCTTCTTGATTTTCTTAGTTTGCTTGTATGACCAGCATCCTAAGGAGTAAGCATCTGTCCTGGTGTACACGCAGTAAAGTACTTTATACAGATAACACCATCCTGCCCTGGTTCCCAGAATGCGAGAGAGAACGCCAATGTCTTTCAAGATAATAGGTATTTGGACTTTCCATCCCAGGCTTGCTCTCATTGCTCCCTTACCTTGGCTAGGCTTTTGAAAATAAAAAGGGAACATTCAGGAACATGGTGTTTTATGTCCCCCTTTCCTTAAGGATGGTACAGGGAGACATCAGAAAACTCAGCACCAGCTTGGTTCTTGGTACCCCAGTCCGCCATGACTATATGCTTTCCAGAAGCCTCAGGTAACTGCTCTGTGCATCTGCCCAGAGTTTCTAGTTACTTCTGGGGGGTGGGGGGAAGAGGGTAAAGTGTGCTTTTTCTTCCTTAACACTCTGTTGAACAGTTAATGTCTGCTTTTTTCCTTCAGAGCTTTCTTTTCCTTCCCAATATAATTTGAATTGGTTCTATCTGCTCCAGCATCCATGTTTGTGGAACCAAGTGAAATGCCTCTTCATGATTCATTGTGTTGGTCCTGTGCTTCACACGAATGCTTCCACATTGCTGCCAACAAGACCTATTTTCAAGTCTATTAATAAGAGTTATTTGATATAGTTCTCACAAAATAATAAGCAACAACAAACACTCTCCTTTTAATCTTTAAACCAAACCAAATACCTCAAAAAATTCTTAGATCTAAAAAGAATTAGTGTTCCTTGGTCTTATTCAAAAAACGTATAGTAACGAGATGACCTCCATTAAAAAGAAAAAGATATTGGATCTTCTGGATTCTGGAGAGTCCGTGCTATGTGTATGTGTTTGACATGAGTTTAGTTATTTTGATGAAATATAGCTATTGTTCACCTTTCCATCTCTGCTTTGTTTTACATCTCAAAATCTGTCTCTCACTATTTATGTGTCTCATTGATCTTTGAATTCACCCTTCTTAGTCCTGTTGCGATCCCAGGACATTCTACCACTCTATTGGTATGAGAGTGATGATGGAATCATAGGTCCAAAAGGAACCTTCAAAGTCCCGTAATTCAAAACTCTATCTGATGCATTGGCCAATTACTCTTTTTAAAAAAATCTCTATTATTTACATTGTTGTTCTTTTAAAATTTCAGTCCATTAAAAAAAAAACATGAATTCAAACAAGTTTTGCATTTCACTTTATTTTTTTACCTTTTTAATTTTTTATTTGTTTTAATTAGTTATAAATGTAGGATACATTTATGCACTTTGATATATCATACATAGATGGGATATAATTTCTCATTTTTCTGAGTGTACATGTTATAGAATCACATTGGTCATGCAGTCATATATATACACAAAGTAATAATGTCTGTTTTGTTCTACTATCTTTCCTAATCCCATATCCCCTCCCCTTCCTTCCTTTCATTTTCTCTACCTAATCTAAGGTAACTCTATTCTTCTCTAGTGCCCCCCCCACACTTTTTGTGAATTAGCATCCACATATTAGAGAAAACATTCAGCCTTTGTTTTCGGGGGATTGGCTTATTTCACTTAGCATGATACTCTCCAACTTCGTCCATTTACTGGTAAATGCCATAATTTCATTTTTCTTTAAAGCTGAGTAATATTCCATTAAAAATATATATACCACATTTTTTTTGTCCATTCATCTATGGAAGGATACCTAGGTTGGTTCCATAGTTTAGCTCTTGTGAATGGAGCTGCTATAAACATTGACGTGGTTGCATTATATTACTGTAGTATGATGATTTTAAGCCCTTTGGGTTCACTTTATTTTTAACAATGATAAATACTTTTGACAAAACTGCCCAAAACACTGAATAATACAGTTATGTTTAAGGAGTTGATGATGTAGGTAGTTGGATGAGTGACACATATCACAAAGAAATGGATGAGCACAGTTCCACACTATAAATAAATGCTGGAACCTCTTCTGGGTGGTATGCTTTCTTCCACAGAGAGCTTTCCCTTGAGCATGGTTCAGTTGGAGAAAGAGAATGGAGATGGATAGGAGAAGGATGCTTCAGGGACCATGAGATCTAGACTTAGAATGGAAGGAAGAAAAACAGAAGGTGAAGAAATGGAGTAACTAGTACCAAAGGGTCTACTGCTATGAAAGGGGAAGAGAGGTAGCGTCCCAACAGCCAATTTCTACCTTTTCAGAAAACTGAGAAACAGATTTGGAAGACGTGCAAGGAACACGGGCTGGGTATTAGGAATTAGAAAGCACTAAACTGTAGGCTGGATGATGATTAAATGTTCCCACTCGGCCATTGGATTGACCTTTTTTTTTTTTTTTTTTTTTTAAGTCCCAGGTCGTCTTTCCACTAACTGTGTGACCTCAGAAATACTCTAACCTCTCAGACTCTGTTTCCTCACCTGCCTCCCTCCTGTGCTCATTGTGAAGATGATTAAACAACATGTTTGTAAAGTTGTCAGTGCAGCAGCTGGCAAAAGGTAAGTGTTAAGTGCTCAGTAAGTGGTAGTTGTTCTTATTATTAAACAGTTATGTAAGAATAGTTATATCTTCCCAGTGGCTCAGGAGGCTGAGACAGGAGAATCTCGAGTTCAGAGACAGCCTCAGCAACTTAGCAAAGTCCTAAGCAACTTCCAGAGAACCTGTCTCCAACTAACAAACAAAAAAGGGATGGGAATGTGACTCAGTGGTCAAGTGCCCCTGGATTCAATCCCTGGTACAAAAAAAAAAAAAAAAACTTGTTATATCGTATTATTAACAATATTTTTAAAATGCCAGTTTTATCTTGGTGGTAGTAGTAGTTCTTATTTTCATGTCCGTGGAAGAAGCCTTGAGGTAAAGTGAAGATGGATTGTCTTTTCCTCAGCTCCACAGAAATTCATTAGGGAAATGTTTCCCAACTTGAGAACTTTTGTCTTTGTTTTTATTAATTAGCATTCAGATAACTTAATGTTCCAAATGGTCTTGTCAAGAATGTGTTTCTAATTTTAGTAACATTACTGTCAGAAGGTAGGTGCTACAGCAAAACAGGAATGAGAAGAATATATTTTAAAGAGCCTATTAAGGAGATAAATAATTTGAGTTACCCCAATTATGAATCTGAACACCGAACCAAGACCATGGGCTAATGATGGAGTAGTCTATACTCTGTACAGCCTAAATGGGTACCATTAGATTCCCTCATCTGTTGTAAATGGTCTTTGCTTCCAGAAGATGCCTCGGATTGTTTTGCTTCCACACATAAATTTAACGACATCAACTGGTCTTTTGAAATCTTTGTGAGGCATTATACACAAGTCCATAATTTCATAAGGAAATTGAATATTTGGATTTAGAAATGCATTGTCCCATAGACAACTAGATTTGAATACTGATTCATTTATGAGCTGAAATCTATTGACTGAATCTATAAGGCAGTTGAAAAGTGAAGTTTTTTAAAATAAAAAGACAGTTTTTAAAAAACAAAACAAAACCTGATGCTATGTTAATTTTTAAATAAAACAGAAAAATAAAGTTTTAGTCTTCTGCTCTGCTGCTCTCTGACTGTGTGACTAACTACATCATTATAATTCTCATTCTTCAATTTCTTCATCTGTCAGATGAAAGCATAGGAAAGGTTGTGGTAGAGCATGTTTTTAAATTTTTTAAAAAAATGTTCTTCCCCTTCCTATACCCACTAGAAGAAACTGAAGAAGCTAAGTAGAAAAGGAAACTGCCTACAGACTTCTAAGTAGGAAAGGTTCTAACCTTGTCCACATTACCCACAAAGAATATCACCCACAAAAGTCATCAACCAGAAAGAATATCCCTTGAAGTAACCTAAAAGAGAAGCTAAGTTCTGATGCAGGATTCTTTTACATCTGAATATAATGCAAACTAGAGATGAGATTGAGGCACCTAAGATTAATTCACTATTTTCTGAACTTTATTGATAGTTCCCTTATTGATAGTTTTTCTTATGTACAATGTAGTGGTGGTACACATATTTTGTATAGTGGTACTCTTATCTAGAGATGCCTAGAAATATATAAAACTATACTACAAATTAGAATGTTTTGTCATATATTAGTCTCATGGGCATCTCTCCCCCATATATAAATGATATATATTAAGTATTTATTGTATAAAGTTGACATTTTAAAACCATAAATGAAATGAGATATTGAACAGAATCCTACTAGAAGAAATAAAATTATAGGGAAGTCCGGAGTTGGAAAGTTCCCCATGCTGGTCAACAGGTGGCACTAGAGTAGCTTGGATGCCAAATAGAACAAAGGGAGGAAATAAAAGTCAAAAGGAACAAGCCACCTTTGGGTGAAAATGCAGGGAGGCACCAGGGCTGCTTATATTTGAATATGTCTCATCTGTTTTTTTAAATTATTCTTTGCTTGAAGTAAGGGACACTTCCAGGTACAAGTATAAGTTGTACTGAATCAGTCTGCCTTGGACTCCTCCCTAAAAAATATTATATTAATGCCCACCTTATAGGGTTATTATGAACAATAGTGAGTTAATGCATGCAAACGTAACAATGCAGATTGCAGAGTAAGCACTCAATAAATATAAGTCATCATGACTCTGCACAATGCTCATGAAGCACAAGTAGCAGAAATGGACTAAATATTAATGGATGGGATGTTCACAAGACCAATGTTTATAATTCAGAGATTACCTAGTATTAAAACATTCATAAAACAGATTAGTATAGGAATAATTATTTACATTGATAATGTAACACTTTGTTTTTAATAAGTATATAACCTCAGGAGTTTATTGCATCTCTGAATCTCATTTAGAGTTTATGTATATTTCACTGAGTCTTCCCATGAATGAGTTGGTTAGATAAACTTAAAACAGTAATAAATATTGAAAAACTAGGCAAACTTATTTTGGTTTATTTCTCTGCTAAGAAGTGTCAGTATTCTAGTATGGCAATATGTAAATCAATGGATGTGTAACTGATGTGATTCTGCAATTTTTATACGGGGTAAAACGGGAGTTCATAACCCACTTGAATCAAAGTGTGAAATATGATATATCAAGAACTATGTAATGTTTTGAACAACCAACAATAAAAAAATTAAAAAAAAAAAAGAAGTGTCAGTATAAATCGTGTTCAGCTCTGCCCAAACACAGGTAATAAAGGCTTACCGTTTTATGAGCTCCATTCCGTCATTACCTAGAAGTCCATTAAAGATGAGCAGACTGTTAAAAAAAAAAAAGAGGCTGGAATTAGTTTTGCTGATCTAAATTTAATATTTAGTGGACCAGAGGAGAGCTCTTGAGTACTCTTGCAACCATCAAGCTGAACTCACTCTTCCTAACTTTTGACTCTGCACTTTTGAACTTGGAGTGGGATTTCCACTTATCTTGAAGGCTTTCATGCCAAATTTTTTTTTTTTTTCCCTGAGAATGTGGCTCTGCCCTGGGCCCCAGCTAAAGCCTTGACAATCTGCATATCTATTACCCTATTATCCTGATATCTGAAGAAGCCCACTGTCCCTCAGGCACTGAATGACATTCTGCTTCAAAACACAGATTTTCTGAAACAATCATCACCTCCTATGTACTACAGTAGTCAGAGGGACAGTAATTGTCATATTATTTCTGGGAAGTAAACCACAAACCAGATTAATTCTGCATCCTTCACACCACTTTAGACTTACTACTGGTGCCACTGTAACCAGGAATTGAAATTTCCACCACTAGGCTCCACTACAATTCACGAGACAAAGGTTGGTGAAGAAAAACAGGCTTACTCAAGCTAACCTTGAGGAATATAGAGATCTTTTCTGTTTCCAAGCTCCATTTTGGGAGCAGGGGGCAGGGCTCAGGGATATGAACAGCTTTATAAAAGAAGAGGGGGGTACAATGAGACAAAAGGCAGGAAATATACATATGCAGATTCAGTTAGGCCCTACTAATCAAAAATTCCTTACAGTTGTTTCCCTGGCTACTGACTAGGCCAGAGGTTTCCTGCTCAGTTTCCACTCTCAGCAGGAGAGCACTCTACATTGCAGAGAAGCAGTTATCAGGAAGTCACTTTTAATTTTAAAATTGCTCTCTTTCGCTACTATTTTAGGGGGAGCAGGCCAAGGACCTTTCCCTTGCCCATGACCATTTCCACCTCCCTTTCATTTTCTACTAGTTCAGAAAATCTCATTCATGCCTAATAGGAAGGGAAGATTGAAATGGAATAGAGAAAAGCAGATATTAGAAAGAAAAGGAGTGAATGTTTTTGGCTCTGGAAATAAAAATGCATAGAACATGGAAAATAAAGTGACTCTGAAATCTTAACAGAAGAAAAGAAATATAATTTCATATAGTGGCAATATGGAAATAAAATTGGAATTTTGTTGTCTGAATCCTGCCTTTTCTAATTTACAGGTTATAGACTTTGTGCAAGCTTCAACTCTCTGAGTCTGTTTCCTCATCTACACAATGTAGCTATAACAATGTCCATTTTACAGGGATTGTTGTAAATGCCACATTTATGGATGGTGCCTGTCCTGCTCACGTCAATCCTTAGATTAGAAGTAGAAAAGTAATATTCTGTGGGTTGAATATGCCTCAAAGCTATGTTCTGTTTGGCTTTGTGTCAGGGGGTCCCCAAGACCATCCCAGTTTCCATGATTCACTAGGAGGATTTGTAGGACTCCATATAGTAACACAGGGCCAGAGGCCCTGTTGGGGTCTAGGACTGGATTCTATTTCCCACATCAGAAATAAGAGGAAACACCATAAAAAAGAAAAATTAATTGCAAATTTGGCCCAAACCGGGAAGACAGATAATCTGCCTCAGTTCATTCTATAGAAAAGTTGTTATAATTTATAGGAACAAAAGCCAGGAAGTATACATTTGTAGATTTAGCCAGGCTGTGCTAGCCAGAGATGTAATAATTGTGGTTTCATGCATACCTACCCTGGCTGTAGGGGTTGGGAGGCAGCTCCTCAGTTAATGATTTTAGCATGAAGAAGCTGGGATGAAGAAATATAGGTTACCAATAAATGAAAGAAAGCAAAAAAAAAAAAAACAAAACTATTTGGGAGCTTTTTATTAAAGGGGCCCCAATGAGTGTAAACTCATGGTTATGATTTATCAGGGGAAAACGATACAAAACCAAACCAGCAAAGGAAAAGTCACCTGGGGCAAAGACCAGGGTAAATCAGATGCAAACTTCCAAGAGTTCTTTCCCAGGATGTGCTCAGTTGCTCCAGCAATGAGTTATGATAGGAAGCTCATTAGAGACCCAGTGTCCAGAGTTTTATTGAGGACTAGGCACTTAGGTGGGCTCTGTCAGGAACCTTCCCACATTCTAGGTTCCCAGAAGGAAGGCAGGAGGTCAGTATAAACCATATTGTTTGTACAAAGAGCTTTGGCACAAGAAGACACTCTTTTTTCGGGGGTGGGGCGGTACTGGGGATTGAACTCAGGGGCACTCCACCACTGAGCCACATCCCCAGCCCTAGTTTGTATTTTATTTAGAGACAGGGTCCCACTGAGTTGCTTAATGCCTGACTTCTTTGCTGAGGCTGGCTTTGAACTCGCAATTCTCCTGCCTCAGCCTGCCAAGCCACTGGGATTACAGGTGTGCGCCACCATGCCTGGTAAAGTGACACTCTTAGCATTTCTGGGAATGGTAGAACCCATCCTGGAATATAGCCTCCTAGATGCCAGCTGGGCAAGCAAGCCTTTCTAAGGATGAACATTATAACTGCTAAATTAAGTCTTTTCTGCATAGACCTATGCAGGGATTTCCCTTTGAAGGTTTTTAAAAAGTTCTATTTATTTATTTATTTATTGCTTACTTGCCATCCTGTAAAAATTTAGAATTTTTACTCAGGATTTCTAGCTTTTTGTGAAAAATAAAAATCAGACATTGTGGCAACAACAGATTTGTTTTCCCACATAGTAACAACTGATAGCTCATTTAGATGAGCCTTCAGTTTCCCTTAGACTCCCCATCTCCAGTCTCTACCACTCCCAGTAATCTTTCCCATTTTGGGTGCCAACTGATATTTATCATTATGCATGTTTGGCCTTAAGTTGCTTGAACCAAGAGGGGCTGGTTGGCCAGAGACAAGGGAAAGGTGCAGGCAAGTGGTACACTACTGAGTACTGATAATGGAAACAGGTCCTGATTCATGAATTCCTGGTACCCAGAAATGCCATGAATTCAGAACTCCTCTCTGGAACTCTTTGTTCCAGCAGTTACTTGTGAGTATTCTTGCATTGATATGACAATAATTTTATTGCTGAATACAATAACTCTGCTTTATTTACTTGAATTGGTCTTCGTAGCTATTCACCTAAAGATCACTGACTGTAATAGTGAATATAAATTAGTCATGGCATATACTGTCAATCAGTACTTTGTAAACTGGAATCATTGTTATTATCATTCTAACAAGTCTTGGTTGTATGACTAAAATATGTCAACAGAAAGATACATCTTGTTCAAAGGAAACAGATCCAATAAACATCAAGTAGTTCCACATATCAATGTATCCACTTACTTAGTGACTCAACTATTATGTGACAAGAAAATACTGGATAACAAAAAATAAAATTTGATCTTTACATTCCTAGCTTCTAGAAAAGTGCCAGGCATGGAATTGAAGTGGAAAAAAAAATGTTTCCTGACTTCATAAATTTCACCTGTACGGATAATTAGAAACCCAAGGACAGAGGTAATGAAAGTCAGGCTACAGCAAGGATATGCTAGTGATTTGATTGTAGAAGTATGTTGCATGCACCTAACCACATGGATGATCTAGATGCTGCTTTTCCAAATCCAATTATAAAACCAGCACAGCTGCAAGTTAAGGAAGAGGAACTGCAATCATGGCACTGTCTGTTGAAAGTTTCATTCTACTTAAAGAATTTGAAATATTCTTTACTTACCTCCCTGATAACTTCATTTCTTAGAAGACTGAGGAAGCAATGAGACTTGACTTTTGCTAATAAGGAAAAAGCTGGCTAGGAAGAAATAGAAGCTACAAGAACATTAAGAAAAAGAGACAGTGACAAATTAGAGTTAGACATTGGGAGTAAAGTTTGATTTTGTAAGTATTCTTTTAGTTGTGAAAGGCAGAAATCCTGTTCAAATTGGCTCAGCCATAGTTGGATCCAGGTTCTCAAATGAAGTCATTGGGAACTGGTATTTCTCTATGTCTTGGTACTATTTGCTTTCTTATGTACTGGCTTCATTCTCAAGACAAGATCACCTCTCTTAGTGGCAAAATAATTTCCAATAGCTCTGATCTTATATCATACTGAATAGGTAGGATAGTCACATAGTAAGACATAGGCAGGCAATTAGGGCAATGGGCCCCAAATGGATTGTTCTGTGGAAATATTCCATACAATCCAATCACCAAAACCCTTTGGCCCAGAGAAGTGAGAAAAGAGAAAGTATTATGGACCTAAGCAGAAGCCACAGAGAATTTTCAAACTCAACAGGTAAAAGGGCACAACAAACAGAACATCACTGGCCCAATCGATGACAAGTCACCTTTCATAAAACTAATTATTATAAAATTGGAAGCCATGTAGATAAAAACTCCTAAACATGTAGATAAGAACTCCTAGGCCCAAACCCTTCCTAGGCCCTCTATTAGGACCCCTCCCGCTCAGTAAGAACTGTTTCTTTTCACTTGAATAAATCTTACTCTTTTTCACTTTCATTTTATTTTATTTTATTTTTTAAGAAAGAGTGGGGGGGGGAGAGAGAGAGAGAGAGAGAGAGAGAGAGAGAGAGAGAGAGAATTTTTTAATATTTATTTTTTAGTTCTCGGCGGACACAACATCTTTGTATGTGGTGCTGAGGATCGAACCCGGGCCGCACGCATGCCAGGTGAGCGCGCTACCGCTTGAGCCACATCCCCAGCCCCTTTCACTTTCATTTTAATTTTTTTTTTTTTTTACAGTTGTAGATGGACAGCATGCCTTTATTTGTTTAGTTTTTTATGCGGTGCTAAGGATCAGACCCAGTGCCTCACACATGCTAGGCAAGCCCTCTGCCACTGAGCTACAGCCCCAGCCTCCCTTTCTCACTTTCTATTTTATGTGAATTTCATTCTTTGAGTTTACAAGACAAGAACCCAGAAAGGAGTTGCTGGTGTCTGCTGCTAAGTAGTAACACTAGAAGGTGTGGCCTGCTGTGAAGCTGAAAGAGCTCACTCTGTTGCAATAATAACAGCAG